CCAGCTGCTCTGCCCCAGGCATCCCCAAGAGCAGCTGGGGTGCTGCTGGGTTGGTCCCACAGCCCCGAGGGGCAGTGCTACGGGACCAACCGGGCAGCACCCCAGCTGCTCTGTCCCAGGCGTCCCCAAGAGCAGCTGGAGTGCTGCTGGGGTGGTGCCGTAGCGCCGCCCCTTGGGCATCCCCGATTCAGCTGCTGCTGAAACTGACCAGCAGCGGCTGAATCAGGGACGCCTGGGGCAGAGCGGGACTATTGTAAGGGGGGGCTATGAGAGGTCTGGGGTGGCATCCCCTCGCACCCCACTCCAGACCCCTCATAGCCCCCCCTTCTGATAGTCTGTCATATCTGATAATCCAGCACCCCCTGGGTCCTAAAGGTGCCGGATTATCGGAAGTTTACTGTATTATACCAGTGGGTACTTTATTTCTGCTTCCCTGTTTTGGTGAAACTGGTGGTAGTGTCAAAATGAATCCTAAATATGTTGGTCATCTAGGAAGCCTAAGCAAAAGAAGCAGATATATCAGAATATGCTATATAAAACTGAGGTGACAGGGAGTCTTCAGATTAATCACCAGAGAGAGAGAGAGTTTTCCCTAACCTCCTCAAACAGATCTAGACTTCTGATAATTTGGGGCTCTTAACTTCAGTGGAAGGTATTGTTATAGTGAGTTAATATAAAGAAAACGGACTCAAAGCTATGGAGGCATGCTTTCAGAAATGAGCTTCATGAGTTGTAATTAAAGAACAAAATCAGATGAATTTTAATGTCATTGATTCCAAATTATTATTTGGCATTTTGGTTTGATATAATGCTACATTTCATTGGATGGTGGAGACTCCAGGGAATAAATCCAGGGTCTCCATGTTCCAGGCTTCAGAGGAACAGAACAGTTTGAGGAGTAGTTGACTGATACAGGATTAAATTTTTGCAAACATGTAACAACCTTTTTGATTTTCCCCAGAAGACTAGTCTTTAGGGCCACTAAGATACGTTATTCATCGTTTCAGTCTTGAGCTGCATTACAAACTTCTGTTGCTATAACTATGTCACTCAGGGTTTTGGAAAATCCACACCCCAGAGCAATGCAGTTATACCAACTAAACTCCTGGAATAGACAGTGCTAGGTTGACAGGAGATGCTCTCCTATCACTGTAGGTAGCATCTTCACTAAGTGCTATAGTGACACAGTTTCAGTGCTTTAAGTATGGACCGAGGTGGGCATGATATACCTGTGGGCTAGATCCAGTCCACCAAGCCTTTTAATCTGGCTCGCGGCCTACCTCTGCCACACTGCAGCGCTGCACAAAGTAACTAGCTGCTCCCTGTGGCTCTATGGGAGGAGGGGCTAGGCTTCACACACTACCATCATCCCCAGCAAAATCTCTCCGCTCCTATTGGCTAGAAATCACAATGCAGAGAGTCCCATGGAACAGCCAGCCAAGGGACTGCTGGCAGACAACTCCAGCATCCTGTCCAGGCCACCACCCCCTCTTGCCCCATGTCACTGCCTAAATCCTCTGCCTAAATCCCCATTCTCCCTCCTCCAGATCACAACTCCCTCCTAGACCCTGCACCTCCTACATCACTTCTGCACCTAACCTCTGTGCCAGACCCCATATCCGCTCCATAGAAAAGTGCGGCCCTTGACCACTTACCAGAATCTTGTAGTGGTCTCCTACCAAAATTATTGCCCATCCCTGATGTAGATGAACCCTCAGTTCTTGCTAACCTGATTTACTTTATGCAGAGTTAAGAACGCAACAGGGTAATGATTACAGGGAAGAATTTTGCCTATAAAAAGATAAGTCTCAATCTTATTCAGGCCCTTCAAGTTTTGTATTTGTAAAGCAAACTGATATGACTCGGCTTTTGCAGCATAACCAGCTAGCTTGTTACAAGTATATGTTTTTAAAGAACTCAGTATGATAATTGTCATCCCTAAGTGCCAGTGCCCTGAGGAGCTGCTAAATTCCCTAGAGTCCTTGACATTCCTATTCCACCCAGTAGTTGATTAATCTGTTTTCTCTAGCCTGTCTTTTTTGAAATCCTGGTTTTTAAAAATTGCTTATGCATGACTTTTTTTTTTCAGCTGTCCAACTACCTAAAGTGCCAAGTGTTTTAAAAACAAAATTATAATCAAAAGATCCAAAGCATAGTTAAACACCATCAGTGAGATTTCAAATGGAGCCATTTTAAATCCTCCAGATTCTTAATCTAATTAACCAATTTATTTGACCTTAACAAAAATTTAATCTGAATCCTAAAGGTACGTCTACATTGCAAGGCTAAACTCGAATTAAGCTATGCAAATTCAGCTACATCAATTGAGTAGTTTAAGTCGAAATAGCTTAATTCGGCTCTTGGCACTATCTACACAGCAGGAAGTCAAAGGAAGAACATAATTCCTTCAACTTCCCTTACTTCTCATGAAATTAGGGATTCCATGAGTCGAAGTAAGAAGTCCTCCAGCTCAAACTATTTCAAAATAAAGGCTTGTAGTATAGATATGCACTATGAAATAATGCTGCTGTGTAGATGTATCCTAAGAGGAAAGAAAAAGCTTTGGATACTCTTCTGATTTCGGTCATAGTTTGAAATGGTAAAATACAGCAGTCTTGTCCCTGAAGCCCAGTAAAGGCTCTCCCGTACTCTACAGATATCCATATTAGTCTTTACAAACAGATATTTGTCTCTGAGAGTTTGATATATAAAAGTACTCTGAATTTCTGTTTAGATAACATAAATGGTTAATTCAAGCAACAATGGTTAATTCATCCAGGTTCTTACAAAGACACTGATGTCTGCAGTACATGAGTGCTTAATTATTTTACTTTCTTTTGCAGGTGACACCTTCTCAGTTTGTTACAGCCACCACCACAGTGACTCCTTCAGTCCTCTTGTCTCCTAGTGTTTTCCAACAGTCAGCGGCAAAATCTACTGAAACGGAAAATAAAGCTAGCACCTCTTCTCCTCTCACAGTTGGAGCAACTGAAATTCAGACAATGCCTCCTACTGTTCTCAGTAGATCTCAGCTCCAGGAAACATTAATACATCTAATAAAGGTACTGTCAGTATCAGATTAAACCGCTTTGGGGTTTTTTCTGAATACGGAGGCAAGTAATGAGACTCTGTGCACTTGCAACTCTCACTGGATTCAGTAGATGTTACAAGAGCTCAGCACTCTTGAGAGCCTGATGATTCCACACAGTTCCATGTGTAGAGCTGATCCCTCGACTTAAGGTACCTTTCTTCCCAGGAGGGCACAATTTACATCCTCTTTGGGATCCAGGTTTAGTGATGAAATGGGGAACAGCTGAGAGTAAGGCCACGAGGGACATGCATTGGGCCTTTTCTTTTTCCATCAACATACATCTCTGTGAAAATCTGCAGAAAAATTAATGCAGCTTCAGGATGTATTAATCTTCCTATAGAGCTCCTCCTGTGCCTTAGCTCCCTCTAACAAGGGAGTTCCAGGGGTGATCTTAGGGCCTGCAATCTTTGGCAGCTCAGTTCCAGTGGATTTGCTCTGAGCAGAAAGACAATCAGAGACCACTCTACAGATTGCTCTGACCTCTTGTGTATATCATGGGATCTGCAGAATTTGTAGGTAAAGGGAGAAGTTGCATTGTTCCTGTTCCATTCTGTGGGGTTTTATGTTAAAAGGCGTGATTTGATACATGATCTTATCCACAAGAAGTTAAAAAATATATTTAAAATGAAAATATATTTCATTAATAGCTCAATCTGATATTAACTTGTTCCATTTTTATTTAACAAAATATTCCTTGTTTTTTTGTCCCTTTAAGGTGTGAGCTCACCTTGAAATGGAAACTGCAAGCATTCTGATTAATGAATTAGGAAGTTTTAATTAGCATGCTTTAATGCATCAATTAATATTTCTTCTGCAGTTCAGTTTTGCAGCTTTCCTCAGGGTGGTTCTCCTCTTAGAATGTCGTTACAGCACAGTTGCATTGATGCAGCTGCGCCACCGTAGCACTTCAGTGAAAACACTACTATACCAACAGGAGAGCTTCTCCTGTCAGCATGGTTAAACCATCTTCATTAGCAATGACAGCTATGTCGATATGACAAGCCCTCCCATCGATATAGCGCTGTCAGTCAGTTACTAACTGGCAGCGAGGTCAGTACAACTTCGTTGTGCAGGGATGTGGATTTTTTTCCCCACTCCTGAGTGATGTAATTATATCAATATAATGCAGACCTAGCCTCAGTGAATCACAATCGAGCTATTGCTCCTATAGGGACACATAGCAAGAGGACTATTTAGCCTCTTTCTGTTGTAAAATTACCACTAGTGTTACAAAACTTTGTGCAACATCAGGGATCTCTTGCTCGTTCCATGCTGATAGGTCTTGCACCTAAGACTACAGACACATAGCTCTTAGTGATAAATTTTTAGGACTGGAAGGGGTCATAGGAAGTCATTTCAGCTTGGTGGCTGTTTTTATTCTTTTTCATTACTTTTTTGGGGGGGGAGGGGGAATAGGTCAAATAGCTGCAACAACAACAAAAAATTGCTGACCCAGGAAAAACCTGCAAACTGAGCTCAACTACCAGTCTTTATTAGTATTAATTATTTAGTTATTTACTAGGAGGCTGTGTCCTCTGCTCGCTACACTCGCCAGCCCCCCTCTCTCTGGAGGCTTTTGCAGACAGAGAGCGTGAGATCTACGCTCATCAGTCCGCCTCTCTCTGGCGGCTTTCTCGGGGGCTGAACCTCCTTCTTGCTATGCTGGCCAACCCCCCTCTCTCTGGCAGCTTTCGCAGCCTGAGAGCCTGATGACGTCATTCTGTTGCCCATCAGGAAATTATTTTTATTATATATATATATAAGGGGGGTGGGGAGGGAGAGAGATTACAATCATCATTAGTCAGATTGCACTGATTTCTGCTTATAACCTTGAGGATACTATTTGTGCTGTTCCATTTCACAGGGAGTGTGACTTTTGAGGTACAGTCAGTATATGCCCTATTGAGGCAGGAAACTGAATGCTGATCAAAATTGTCCTTCTCAGAAGTGGGAGATTATTTTATATATGTCCACAGTAGAGTACAAAGGTCTGAAATGCAAAAATGCTGAGAGAGAAGAATATTCGTCAGTTCATTCTGATTGATTGGGTGTCTGTTGTATGCTTTATCAATATATATAAATGATGAGAGCCTAAGAAATGGCTCAAACCTAAGAATGGTTAGAACATAAGAAAATTAGAATAGCTTTAAATACTGCATATTAGTGTACTTTTTTCCCGCTACCATATTGATCTAGGATTTTAGGCCCAGGAACACGCTGAGACAAAAATTGGTCTTAGAAGTGTAAGTCATCACAGAAAGTCTTTTCATATAATTGCTGGCATTGGCTGGAGGTGGATTTGGATGTTGGTGCTTTTCAGGAACGCACAAAGAGCAAAATTCTTTGTACCCCTGTGAAGCTCAAATAATGAGACTTGATGTGCTTGAAGTCAGCAGGAGTTTTGACAGACAGTGAAACTACAGTAAACTTCCGATAATCCGGCACCTTTAGGACCATGGGGGTGCTGGATTATCACATATGCCGGACTATCAGAAGGGAAAGCTATGAGGGGTCTGGAGTGGAGTGGGAGGGGATGCCACCCCAGACCCCTCATAGCCCCCCCTTACAATAGTCCGGCTCTGCCCCAGGCGTCCCTGATTCAGCTGCTGCTGGTCAGTTTCAGCAGCAGCTAAATCGGGGATGCCTGCAATAGAGCAGCTGGGGTGCTGCCGGGTTGGTCCTGCAGTGCCGAGGGGCAGCGCTACAGGACCAACCGGGCAGCACCACAGCTGCTCTGCCCCAGGCATCCCCAAGAGTAGCTGGGGTACTGCTGGGGTGGTCCCGCAGTGCCAAGAGGCAGCGCTACGAGACCAACCTGGCAGCACCCCAGCTGCTCTGCTCCCGGTTTCCCCGATTCAGCTGCTGGTCAGTTTCAGAAGCAGCTGAATGGGGGAAGCCAGGATCCCGGTATACAGCCGCTGCTGGTCAGTTTCAGCAGCGGCTGAATCCCGACGCTGAATCAGGGACAGCTGGGGTCCTGCCGGGTTGGTCCCGTAGCCCCGAGGGGCAGCGCTAGGAGACCAACACGGCAGCACCCCAGCTGCTCTGCTCCCAGCTTCCCCGATTCAGCTGCTGGTCAGTTTCAGCAGCAGCTGAATGGGGGAAGCCTGTCCGGCTGCCCCAGCACTTCCGGGTTCCTGATGGTGCCGGACCATCAGGAGTCCTGGAGCATTGGATGCCGGACTAATGGAGTTTTACTGTAGTACCTTCCCTTAGGACTGTAATGCACGTTCTTTTCCACCCATTTAAAACTACTAGTAATTGCATGGGCTGGAATGGTGGTGGCTGTTGTGCTTCTTGTGCTGGATGTTAGGACCACTTGACATGAATAATCATGGGTCTTAGATTTCTAGCCCCCAGCCTCTCACTCCCTCAATTTATGTGATGCCTGTGTAGCTGTGCCTTCATGCAGCTAATCCTCTCTATATTCCCCATTCTTCAGGCTTTAAGTTTTGCATATTAGATAGGAAAAATCAGCACTTAAGTGTATGTTTTTAGTTAATGTTCTGCATGTGCTCTTTTCCCCTCCTGCAGAATGATTCCAGTTTTCTCAGTACTGTTCATGAAGTCTACTTGCAAGTCCTGACCAAGAATACAGACCTCAAACTATAATTGAAGTTAATTCAGTTCAACTGACAGTATGTCTGCTTCTGAAACAATTATGCCTCATCTATAAAGTTGTAATATTTTTTTAAAAAGAATATTTAGTTTTCAGCATCTTGAATTTTGAGCCTATTGGGAAAGACTATAAAATTACTTCTAAAAGTAATCTTCTCAGAAGTGATCTAGGTTTCACTGTGATCATCACCAGCAAATCTTTGTTTTGAAGTCAAATTTGTTTAGTTGCATATTTGCATTTTTTAGCAATAACTGGATGAGCACATGTTTTCTCTGACTTTTATTTCCAGCTACCTTCAGTACTAAAACGTTAAGGGGAGCAGTAGTGGTTTTTAAACTCTCCAGTGGACAGTACACTACACAGATCAGAACAAAACTCGTTTGTAAAACCCACTTATGGTTGTGAAGGCTTTGTACAGGCTGGGGAATCTCATTTATCATAACTAGCTGGATGCCCTTAGAGCTAGATGTTTGAGGTAAGGGTTAAAAATACTTTTACCCATTCTTGTCCAACAAACAGCTTCTACCCAATGCATATCCTTACTTTGAAAGGATCCTTTAGGTTTTGGTTTTTGCATCTTTGGTCACAAGTACGTGTCCAGTAGTGTGCGCTCAGTTTCTCTAAAAAAGAGGATTGTCTAGGATAGGACAATTGTGTTATTTAAGTAACAGCTTGATTCTGTACTTAAAATTAGATCTGAGAGAGAACACCACTCGAAGACTATATTGTTTTCCTGTTCTCTGGAACTCTATAATATTTTCAGTATATTGTTTCTGTTAAGCTAAAGATGGGCTAATGCTAGAATTGAGTTTTCATTCCATACTTGTGTTGGCACGGTCACGCTGAAAACTCTACAGATGGAGAACTGCAAACTGACCCCTTGCCTACATGTTTTTTTTCACATTGCATAGTACAGGGGTTGTATTTAGTTGAAAAGTGAACACTTCTTACATATGGTTTACCATATCCTTATTTACCATTGTAAGAATCCGATTTCTTCATGTCTCCCCACTTGAAGTCAGAAAAGAATCTCTTGTTATTTTTTACTATGCTGCTATTGGTCTATCAGTGACTTATATTTATTTCTATATGGCATGCAAAGGTACTTAGTAATACTTTAAAATAGGTCTCAGTTGATTCCAGCAATAGTTATTTTAAGGACTGGTTTTTGAGTAGAGAGGTCTTGGTATATTTGGTAAAGGATAATTTGTAGTAAATTTAACCAGTTAGGATGCTTTGCTTATTTTTTCCAAGCACTATTGCAATGAAGAAGGAACAAGTTTTGTTTGGCTGTATAAAATAGAATATCCTAGTGATTAGTTGTAATAATGTTGGCATAGTCAAGGGTGCAGTGTCATTTCATTGGAAATGATCAACTAAGCTTTAATTGTGACTCAGTCACAAATCCGTGTGCTTATAACAAATTGTGTGTGTTTTTCATATGTCTAATAATTATTTTAATTTGAACTTTGTGCATGAATAGAAAAGGGTTTTGTTTAGCAAAATCTGCCTTCTGAAGAGTTTTTCAACCTTTGAACTCAGTGTTTTCAATTTAAAATATTTAGTATTTTATATTAGTGTGCAGAATTCAGGGAAATGTGCTAGCGATCATGTGAATTTACCAATATGTAAGCATTAATCGTAGCATTTGAATTCAGCAAGGAAGACTTTCTGGACCTTGTAAGGAAGAAGGTGATCTTCCTATACACCTACCAGACTTATAATAATATGCACAAAGCAATGTAAATTTCATTAGTTTACTTAAGTCCATACACCTAATACAAATAAAACTTGAAGACCTTTTCTGCAGGAGAAAGAACGGGGGAAAAATGCCAAATTAGTGAGCAGTGCTCTTGGATATAGTCCTAGTGGAAAATAACTAAGGCCATCATTAGATGTCTTTTCTCTGGCTTCAACAAATACAGAAACAGAACTTTCTTGACTTTTTTTTTTTTTTTTTTTTTTTTTTAAAGCATTTCTACTAAATGAGGGTGACTGGAAAGAGGAATTCCCAATATAGAAATGAGAAAAGGAATTACTGAGATAATAACAATTACAAATATTTGTGTTAACTTTCAGTTAAATACAGTCACATCCTTAAAATGCCATATCCAAAGATTTATAGAAATGATGGGATACTAAAGATTTCTCTCATATGGATTGGACTTTCATTTTAAGTCTGTAAGTCATGAACAGTTGATCATTTGGGAATGTTGTTTTAATTAGCAAAGTATTATAAGGTGATTATGATCTAAACCCCAAACATTTTTATTTAACGTGCTTGTGTTATACCTGTCGAGGAACCTCAACAAGATATTGGTAAAGCCAAGTTCTCTTAAATTTTTATATTACACTAGCCTGGAAAAGTGTCGTCTTCCCAGTTTGCAGAATGAATATAAAGCATAGTGATGACTAAGCAAGCTTTCTAATGAGTACAACTGATTTCTATTCACACTGAATTCTTACCCACATTTACTCCAACTGCTGTATGTATAAACAGACACACACTGGGAGAACTGGAGTCTCTTGTAGTATACCGAACTGTTGTAATAAGACAAAATTTAACAGAGAAACCTCTTTAACGAAGGATTGCATTGTAAAACAGAAGCTCTGCTTCAGAATAAAACTGGAGATGTTTTATAATGTGGAAGTCGTTTGATGGCTTTATTCTGACTATTTTGAACTTTTGTATTCTAAAATTGTCAAGTTAGTTTCATTGCTTGATTTATATTAGCTGCAAGTACTGATTGCTAATGCATAGCTAGTTACTATGGGTCATAACAACTTAACATCATTTAAAGTGACTTTTTATTTTGGTAAAAACTACTACTTAATGTGATCGTACCCTTCAGCTCTGAGAGCGAAAACTGTTAGTTTAGGAGTTTAGACTTTATCCCCAAAATTGATTATCAGTCTAAGGATGTGATTTATGTGGTCACTGTTAAGTCACTTTAAAAATGATAATCTTCAAATATAGTTTGAAGATTTACAGCTTTATTATTCACAAAATTAAGGTTGTTTCTCAGTTTTGTAGCTGTTACATTAATTTGCACAGTTTTATGGAAGATGCCAAACCCGTATTGATTTGAAAGCAGTATATCTTGTCGAAGTAAAAAACATTTACAAAAGAATTGAGGCAAACTGCGAGAGTGATTATTAAGTTTAGTTTCATAACAACAAATTGCCAGGTATTGATATTCAGCATGTTTGAACATTTCCTAATGGACATGTTTCATTTTGCCTACATTTTGTTTTGCTTCATTTTGGTGCATTCCTTGAACCTATAATGCCCTATCTAGTCAAGTATGTAATTACTGGGAAACTTTCAAAAGAGTGATTATTTTGGAATGTTATCTTTAAAAGGGTGTGAGAAACCAGCCATTTTCCCCAGCTATTTGAATTGTTTCTTGCCTACAGCATACCTTTTACAGGAGGAATGTGTGCAATATATTTCACCTCAGTTTAATCTGACATTGGTGTGAAAATGTTAAGATGCAATATCTTCCTTCGACTTTAAATTGGAAAAAATTGCAATATCTTTCCCTGATGGTCTATTTATTTTTTATCTATTTTGTGTATGGGCCCACTGGGGGGAGGGTTAAAATATAAAGTAAGCATTTAAAATGCATGAATTTTTTTAACCACTTTTGGCTTCATGGGTTATTATTTACGTGCATGTTTTTACATTATGAAGATGCTCAAGACATTGGGCTTTTTAGTAATTCTGGACATATGGTCTACGAACAGGTGTTTTTTAAAGTCAATAAACGTAGATACTGCATCACTAACATTATGGTATGATATGGACTTCATTATATCCTCTATGTATGTTTGCAAATATTAAGTTATTGCATAAATGTTTAAGAACTAGCATTTTTCATTCAAAATTTTGTACATTTGCAAATATATTTTTGTAATAAAATTTCAAAAACAAATATTTCAGCACCTCTTACTGTCTTCCAGTGGTTTTTTTCATTTATAGAGATAGAAACTAGCTATGGGTAGAGACTCAAAAGTTCATGGGCTGCCTTAAATTTTTAGATTTGGCAAACCAACCAATAAATCTGTAGTATCTGCACTGCTGATACTACAAATTGAACCTCTCTAAGCTGGGACTCTCTGGTCTGGCAACATCCATAGCCTGGCAAGATCACAGATGTTCCTTGTCCAGTGGAGGGCAAACAGCCTGGAACCCAGCCAGGCTTGTGGAAGGGGAGCTGGCATGGCAGTGGGCTCTAGGGGGGCCAGCAGGGCTAGTGGCTGGG